ATGATCAAATGAGAACACCTAAAAGGTTGAGAACGTGAGAACAGTTGTGAGCCAATTATTTTATAAGGGCATTAGAGGTATTTTACAATTTAATTAAATATAGATAATTGGAAAGTAAATAATTAATTCCGAAAATCATGGGATTTTTTTTACAATCTAATTAATTATGAATTAGCACGGGATAATTAAATTGTTGCTATAATCATGGGATATAATCCCAGTTTCCATTATTATTGATATCACGATTCCACACACCATATTCTTTATCGATTTCACGTTTCAAAGAAGAAATCACTATTTCCAATTGATTAATGTTTAAGTAAATAGTGTTTTCTTTCTGAAGTGGAATTCTTAATCGCAATCGAATGGTAGCCGTGCAAATACGAAAACGAACGATAGACAAAGTAATCCTTAATTTTCAATTTCTTAATTCTTTTACAATTGATGAATGAGATGATCAATCAAATGGTAGCAGTCGAATACATTAACCTAGTTGTTGAATTCCTATGTTTGTGACATGTTTTGTAGTCTACCAAAAATTCATCAGTGAATACCCGTGCTTAAGTATTTACAGTTTTCATCAGCATTTATCATTCATTAGGTTAATTTAATCAACCAATAATCATCGTTGAATAGTCGTAATGCAAAAATTTATCAGCCAAATGGTTTATTATCTATAAAATCGATTAACATGTTTAATCACAAATGAATACCCAATATAATGAGTTATTAAAATTGATGGATATTTTTATGGAAAACCAACTTCTTATTTATGATCATGAATGAAAAAATAACGTAGAAGGAATGTAAGTTATAATAATTGGTTTAGATGCAAACGTTTAAGATTTTTAAGAGTAAACATGAATGTACACACATTACTAATAAGAATAATGTGGGTGATATATTTCTTATTACAAGTTTTTTATTAGCTATTTATTTATGATTATAAAGTATTTTTGTAATTGTTTTGATTTGTACATGGATGTTATGTAGCAGGTAAAGATTACAATTTAGTAGATGAACCTTACAACATTAAATTGTCTGTGTATCTAATAAAAAATTGAAATTTTCACAGCCAACAATCACGAAGGCGTTTATTTCTAACATAATGCTTGCTTCCAATCATAACTAGCTAGCGTTTTTAGTGTTTCTTTTATCGTGATATTAATCATAAATGAATTAGCAATAGATTTGTAATTGGATATTACATCTTTCACCATAAAAAAATATATATTTTATAGTAATTTTGATAGATATATAGAAATAAAAGAATGATTGATAGTTCCCGTTTATTTATTAATAAATGATTAAAATGGTGATTAATATATTTTATATAATAACACAGTTGACAAAGGAATCATGAGTGAATATACGGTTGTTGTTTAAATAATCATAAGTGAAGAATAACTAAATTATATAACTATTAGGCCAATTATAAGTTGAATCCCCAATTCTTGATATGGTCAGAAGCTTTGATCATAATAGCAATGTAGTATCAATATCTTACAGTTCCAAAACACTTCCAACTAAAAGGTTTCAAATGCTCACAAATTTCCATTAAAAAATCGAATTGCAGATAAATTTGAAACTAAGAAAATAAATTAATGCGAAGATGTTCATGTCTATGTTGCCTAATTTGGTATAAATGTAAATTTCATTGTTGTTTTCAGCAATTTACTCATAAAAAAGGTAAATTATATTTCTTATATTGGTAATGGCTGTAACAATGCTTAAAAAGTCCCAACCAATATCGACTTTGATTTTTCAAATACCCAAATATGCTACCTCGCAAATCCAGCTATCATAATACCTTTATGTTGTTTACAGACGTAATCATTTATGATTACAGAAAGTCACTTGGGGAAAACTCAAAAATATCAAGCTTTATGTTTATGTAACCCATTATGTGATGGTAATGGAAGTTGTATAAATGTATACATACTTAATCATTTATGATTTAAGTAAGTGTATGGAGTTAAATCAAAAATTACAGAAAGAAACTCGAAAACTATTTACATAATCATTTAAGATTATGCAAGTGTATTAGGGAAAACTAACAACCGAATCATTTATAGTCACTAAAAAATTAGGGCAAAAAACTAGAAAACTACACCTTTAATCATTTATTATTACTCAAAAACTAGGGACTCAAACATTCCAAGCATAAACATTCCACTTTCTGGTTACATACGTGTAAGGGAAAACCTCAAAAATCAGGGAAAAATTAGCAAGGAAGAAGAAGATGAATCTATTATGCATGATTGAACAAGTATGGGCATAAAATCGACCAAATCCTCATGATGTACCGGATGAAAATTAAAATTTGTAGATGAATTAAAGTTATTATCCTTGATGTTCTTCATTATCGATTTCCCACTTCAACTGCTTCAACTGCAACCTGAATCCATGATTTTATATAACCCAGTAAACTATGTTTCTAAAACAAGATAATGTCTTCCAGCGATAATGTCGAGATACTAATTCCACTCGCTTCTGGTTGTGAGTGACGCTTATGATGATGGTATCAAGATATACAATATATGGAATTACTAGGATTCAAATTAATCAGAGATACTGATTCTCAATTTCTGGCGGTGTGTCGATAAAGATGAAGATCTCACATGAGATATGTTATACGAAATTTTTGGGATTCAAATAAATACCAAATATATTCTGCAAATCGCCTCTTCCTCATTAATCTCTTCATCGTTCTCCACTACCACAGAACCGATTTGATCTTCATTCAAACAGAATCGTTTCAACAAAATTGGCATATAAAAATCAAATCGCATGTATACATAATCAAAAACGTACCATTAGCACTATCGATCTTCATTCGAAACATGAACTAGAAGAAAAAAATACGAAAAAGAATAATAATCACACCTACAGACCACCAGGGTCACACTCGGTGTGCAGTCCTAATACCGCCGTAGCATCACCTATATCGCCGCCAACATACCTCCAACACCGCTACATCACCCTCCTCCTTCTCGATCTCACTCCGAATCCTCGTGTACACTCTCATCTGTTTCGCTTTTTTAGATGATCATAGAGCACATGGTGCTCTGGTGGTGTATAGATGAGGGAGGCGATGAGGCGTGCCCTAGGTATAGAGAGAGACGGCAAATTAAAAGGAAAGATATCACTGTGAGAAGTTATACAAATTAAATAAACAGTCAATTACTATTATATCCTTTTCACCATTTCAAAGTTACACTTTAATACCAATAAATTTCAGAATTTACGTAAATAGTCGTCTGATAATAGCCTTAGATTTGAATATTTAAATGGTCTAGATCTGTTCCCGCGTTCTCAACCTTTTAGGTGTTCTCATTTGATCCTACTCCTATATATATATATATATATATATATA